CTCAACCACATTAGCAATCCAAACAATAACGGGAAACCTCCTATGCTTCATCAAGCTCATTGTTTATGTCGAAGTATTGCAACCGATCTTCATTCTAGAAAGCATGTCTACTATATCCAAATAGATAGGCTAGCGAGATATCCAAATCTGATGCGATCCAACTGTCTCAAATAGTGATGATGATCTATCTCAGGACCGCAAGGACAAACTATTCGGTGGAAATCTCCGGTGCACAACTGAAAAATCGCAACCTAACTGTCATCTTACGGAGTTGTCGATACCGACACACGTGGTATGGTTTTGAGACAACCGTTGTCAAACACCTGCAAGCTCCATGGCTCCGTTTCTCAAACAGGACAGGACTCACAGCCATAAAATAGAATAGGCCGTACTGCAGCCTGATACGCAGATTACTTGATATTCACGGATATACTGCCCTGACGGGATAGGTGTTTCAAATTAGCAAACGCGACCTGATCATTCCAGGCTCGTGAATTGACCTATTCTGTTACACTACAAGCAAAGTAAAATACAAAAGTAATACGAAACGCTGTACCACACCACCTCTCCAACCGGATCAGAAAAATATTTGCGATCTTATATGAGCTTTGATCTACCTCTAAGGATTTCCTCAGCCAACTAAAAATATCCCCCTATACACAGAACTGTACATCCGAGCCAAGTGATCCCAGAAAATGAATTCAGTTTCGGGCCGTCCAGAAACCGAAGTATTTAAGTGCAATGATGGCACGGCACTGCTATACCCAGTTTGATAGCACACCCGCAACTATGCCCTCCCTTCTATTAACGCTTCCCTTACCTTATCGCCTACTTGTTCCATAACCTGCAGGCAGAAAACAACCCACGCTTTATTCTGACTGTAACCTTATGATCATGCACGACGGCGCGCCGCAAACCTGTTGGTAATAAACACCGTTATGATAACGCGACGCTTTGTGTATACAAAGTGCACACCAATGGACAGATGATATCGGTAAGTCCATCAGAATACACCTGCGCCTTTTCTTCTTCTTCGGAGACGGGGATGATAACCGCATACTTCAAATCGACGGGCTCTTTTCCAGAAGATATCTGAAGACCCAATTCATAAGACATTTCAGCGTTCGCATGATTATCTCGTCGATCACGAAATTGACAGGAAATGTAGGGAGGACGCCCTTGACGGATACCACTTTGTGTGCGGAGGCTTTTGGAGCTCCCCTTATATTTCCGTAACATGTCCGCCTTTCGCACCTCCTGCCAATGACGATGTAAAAGACTGCGCGGTTGACAACTCTCACTTCAACTCTATGCTCTCTTCCCAAAATATACTCCTGCCGCATGATGAAACCCATAATCCGCCTTCTGCAACGAAGGAACGGAAGTTTTAAGTAGAACTAACTTTTGTCGGACACCCGTTTCCGGCTTGAGCTTGCCATGCTTGTGGCATATATCCCGAGCAACCGAAAATCCATCGATAGAACAGCAAAAAGGCTACGAGACTCACCAAATACACGCTATTCGACACTTCAGAGGAAACAGGTATGCGAAGCTCAACGCTTTGCTTTAGGCCATAATAGCTCCATTCTGAGGTCAACTCACCGCACTTCTGCGCAACACCACCAGATATCTCTGATCTCATGTTCCCGCAGGCCCTCAGCTACCTTATCTTTTCACAATCTTGCCGATGCACGCCCGTCATAATCACATATGCCCACACCAGTTCAAATCGACCACATGCCCCTTATTGATATATAAAAATTTCGATTACGGTTTTTGAAACCGGGCGGTGTCGCATCATTCGAAGTAGCTAAAAATGTCGACAGTTTTTGACTGTGTGTTATTTCAGGGGACGTCCAAATTTACATCAAATTGCCTTCTAGCAAACCTTTCGAACACTTTTCCTGTTTTGAGTCCCCCGTGTAAACATGCGTTTCTTATCACCTCGTTTGGAAGGCAGCAATGTACCACCTTGAAAACTCGATAGACCAGGGGATATCCCAACTACCATGATAACTATAAACGGCTCATTCAAGATATTCATATACGGGGCCGTCCACGAAACGACTTACGACGTCGAGGTAACGGTACCGCGACTTCCTTAGTCTGATGGCTTGCCCGTGGTTCACTATATCTCTAATATTCCCCAGACGAGCGTGTAGCCCAGAAGACTGTTTCTTTCGGTTTGATTTGTGCGAGGATTCCAAAGCAGTGGCCGCCTTATTTTGCAGTCCGCTTGTTCTGCCCACTATTGATGGCTCGTTATATAGGTGGAAATCAAACCTTGCCCTAAACAAGATGTTACGTATGTTGATCATCATACAAAACAAAACACTAACTAGCTGTGACGGATACTTTGGCTCCAGCGTGACGCTTGCAGCAACCATACAAAAATGTTTCATATACAGGTCGCGAATAGCCTCCCCAATCTGAGTTTGCGCCCACGCAATGGGCATGATAACTGTTCAAGTCGTTTTGAGGTTATTTCCAAATCTAATACGTAAGGAAACAAGCTTTTCCACATAATTTCCCATCGTTTTGATAGAGACAATGCGCGAAGCCACCGGCAGACAATAAACTACGAATTTCGCGCCCACAGTGGACTCCCAATTTGTTTGAACAAATTCCGATAAAACTGCGCCCGCGTGGGGAGATCTTGAGCACCAGAATTATTTCCATCAAATGCTAAATCTTCGTGTTAAATTTTCTATTTTTCGGACCACGGATACAGAGAACTTTTGGTTGTACTTATACGATGCGGTTTACGCGGCCCCACTAGGTGGGCGCTCAGTATTCGCACAATGGAATGGAATTTTTGAATGCTACGACGTGACCTTAATGGACCAAAGCATTCGAGAAATTGAATACAGAGTACTATTTCAGACGCTTGAGCCATATTTAGGCATCCTGAGGACTCAGAGTTACTGGTAAACCATTCAACCTTGCTTTCCCGCCTGAGGCATGATTGCTCCGGTGGACAATGAACTTTGGATAGTTGCAAAAATATGGCCGTAGATTAAGATTATTGTTGATTTGAGCACATATGCAACAAAATGCAACATTCTGGTGCAATACGGTTTTGCTCCATTCCTGAATGTTTTGTAGCTAACAGCATCGTGCCGCTAATGGGCTTCCATTGGTGCCAACCCTTTTTGAATCTGGCACACCCAAGGTCACTGTGTGCCCACAAAAGGAAAGCTGTTTCACTGATTATGAAGGCTACATAAAAAGCATTCTTCTGTGGACTAACTCAGGGAAATTCAACCCTGGTGCCGCTAATGGGCTTCCATTGGTGCCAATTCTTTTTGAATCTGGCACACCCAAAGTCACTGTGTGCCCACAAAAGAAGAGCTGTTTCACTGATTATGAAGGCTAAATAAAAAGCATTCTTCTGGGGACTAACTCAGGGAAATTCCACCCTATGTTTGTTTGTCTACCTCAGTGTGTTTAGTTGCTGAGGTCCTCGGATTACAATCGTTCAGCTGTGACGGATACTTTGGCTCCAGCGTGACGCTTGCAGCAACCATACAAAAATGTTTCATATACAGGTCGCGAATAGCCTCCCCAATCTGAGTTTGCGCCCACGCAATGGGCATGATAACTGTTCAAGTCGTTTTGAGGTTATTTCCAAATCTAATACGTAAGGAAACAAGCTTTTCCACATAATTTCCCATCGTTTTGATAGAGACAATGCGCGAAGCCACCGGCAGACAATAAACTACGAATTTCGCGCCCACAGTGGACTCCCAATTTGTTTGAACAAATTCCGATAAAACTGCGCCCGCGTGGGGAGATCTTGAGCACCAGAATTATTTCCATCAAATGCTAAATCTTCGTGTTAAATTTTCTATTTTTCGGACCACGGATACAGAGAACTTTTGGTTGTACTTATACGATGCGGTTTACGCGGCCCCACTAGGTGGGCGCTCAGTATTCGCACAATGGAATGGAATTTTTTGAATGCTACGACGTGACCTTAATGGACCAAAGCATTCGAGAAATTGAATACAGAGTACTATTTCAGACGCTTGAGCCATATTTAGGCATCCTGAGGACTCAGAGTTACTGGTAAACCATTCAACCTTGCTTTCCCGCCTGAGGCATGATTGCTCCGGTGGACAATGAACTTTGGATAGTTGCAAAAATATGGCCGTAGATTAAGATTATTGTTGATTTGAGCACATATGCAACAAAATGCAACATTCTGGTGCAATACGGTTTTGCTCCATTCCTGAATGTTTTGTAGCTAACAGCATCGTGCCGCTAATGGGCTTCCATTGGTGCCAATTCTTTTTGAATCTGGCACACCCAAAGTCACTGTGTGCCCACAAAAGAAGAGCTGTTTCACTGATTATGAAGGCTAAATAAAAAGCATTCTTCTGGGGACTAACTCAGGGAAATTCCACCCTATGTTTGTTTGTCTACCTCAGTGTGTTTAGTTGCTGAGGTCCTCGGATTAACAATCGTTCAATTTTGTCCTTGAGGTTTGCACGGTAGTCTTATCACGTTGGCTGTTAATCCTCGTTAAATCTTACGGTTTTCAGGTATGGGGTACTCCCGATTCACCTCAGGAATCAAATAGTTCGACAACAATGAGTGTATGAGACCAATTCAATATGTTGCCGCGTGTATGAACTTTCAGGACCCGCGTATGCAAGAGCTCTTACGGTGGCTCGCTTGCAACTGGCTTCCCGCAACGTGAGCTGAGCTAAAAATATGCCCCATAAATTGCCTTTCCGAGTTGTGCACGTTTCCAGTCAGGACGAAAATTTCCCGGCCGAAGAACTCAATCGCCATTCTCCCGCTACGCGGGGTTGGGTATCCTCGCGATTTTGTCCATTTCCACAAAAGTTGGTGCTCTCACTTGAGCGTCATGCGCACCTAAGGAAAATTCAAGTCCTTTGCCATCAGTACATGATTCGTATGTTTCCTCTTAGCGTTTCTTGAAATGATTACAGCGACGAGGGTCGAGTTCTTTGTTGGCACTCCTTTGGAATGTGATGTTAACCATTATCGAACGGCGCGATATGTACGGCTTGGGTAGGTATCATTTGAAAATCCTTACCTCTCCAGTTATGTTTCTTTGTCGGACAATGAAAGTACGGAATTTAAAGCAAGGGAACTAAAATCTGTTCATCTGGATACCTGTGGTTCTTACATCCAGTTACTGCTTCACAGAAACTATCCGAACAGGTATAACATGTACAACCAGGTTGGAAATTGGTTCAATATTCACAGCTTCTAGGTTGGTATAATTGCAGTGAACCTGATTGGTGGCTTCACGGGCGATCCCAGTGAGATCGATCCAGATGCATTTAACATGAATGCTTACAGGTAAGTACAACAGCTAGCTACGCTTTAGCTAGTGGTGAGACTGTGTGCGTTTTGGCACTCGCCATTGTACAGTTTGACCAGAGGGGTGTGTAAACCATCAGAAATGCCCGTGTTCCGCCCACGTATTCCACTTTCCGTAAGGGATTCTAGAAACTTTACCGGACTACATTCAGCACCGAAGTCTTTATCCGTGTTCATTAGTTGACGTCAATCTACGGAGTGCAATTTGTGAGAACTTATTAGAGTAGTGTGAAACTATGTGGTGTGATTGGATGATAGCTCGATGCTAAAGGCACTGATTTTGTACACGCCCTAATTAGGTCGCAATTTCACCGATCATCATGTCTATTGATGGCGTAGTGGAATGAGAGCACTTGTACTCTAAGCAAAATGGTTATATCAGCTAGCAAACAATATATAATTACATTCCAGACGGACGGTCGTATAAAACGTGATAGGCGTAGGTACTGAATTTGCCATAGCCGGTACTGATAAGGTCTGTGGAGTTCAGGAATCCGAGAATAGCGCGTTAAATACTGCTTGGCGTTTCCATTGCGATGGGCCCTAATGTCCGCGTGAGAAAACCACTTAAGGGTAACTGTAAGGGTGGGGGCATAGTGTGCACTCCATGCAATGGACATCAGACTGCCGTCAACGGAAATCCAACGTGAGATACCATTCCATGAAGTACCCGGCCTAGATGGTCTGGACTCTGCGCATTTCAAAAGTGGTGAGTCCTTGGTGGATGGTCTGTGGTGGAGGTCTGACGAACACAGTCTCCTGGCCCTCCAGGTTGGGGGTTGGAACATGTGGCGACTTGTTCCGTAGAAATGGTAATGCATTTGCATTTCCCGCCAAACACCGCTGCCTTGCGGTTAGGCTTTTGAGCCAAAGGCTTTGGTTGAGGACCCTAATCGTCCTCCTGTCTAGGTGTGGGCGCCCTGGCAGTATCCCAGCCCTCGTACAACCATGACCTACACAATAACGTCAATAAGCAGTGAATGGTAGGATGGCTCCTACACAGCGTACTTATCTGACCAGAGCAACCTTCAAATACCAAATGAACTAAGTGATGCATTCTGTCGGATTCGGCAAACACGGATGTACAACGCTCAGAAAGAACTGGCAGCTACTCAAGCAATCGGTATTGCGAGCCATCACATCAGCAAACAATGTAGAAATGGCAAAGATGTTGCGTTAACTTTTTCGTAAAACGAATACAATTAGACAGAGACTCTTCCTTACAAACCTGACGTGTTTTGAGCATTTTATTGTCACTGGTAAATAGTAACATGGAATGACGGATATCTGGATTATGCATAACAAGGGGAAACATAACAGCGGCTAGCTGAACACAATTTTAGTCCTCATAAAAACGTCGGGAACACAAAAGACACTTTCCAGTTGAACAAAAACGATCATCCGTCAAAACAGTGATGGCATTGATGTGTACAGAGCAAACGAGACAACCAGACAGGGAGCTTTGTATAGAAACTAGGCTTATGATCGACAAGATCCAAGCACTTCGGCTGCGCGAAGTAGCCAAAGTAGTAACCAAGATACGGAATTATTTCGCCGTTTCCTGACCAAGATAGTCGTCAGTCTGATATCGCCAGAAAACCCACAGACAGAAAGCTCGTTTGCATCTGGAAACAAACATGATGGCGCCCATGTTTGGAAATGATGGAAGTGATAAAGCCAGATCCCTACTTTTGGAAAATGAAAATCAAATGAAATAAGGACTACCATGGAACATGTTGCAGAGCACGATAAATTATTGTATTATATATATATATATATATT